ACTGACCCACTTTATCACCTGATTGGCAGTTTTAACCCACCAGTTGCTCCTTGGAAACCCTATACAGGGTCGCAATGACTGACTCAGTGGCACCTAACAACAACATCAGTCTTTTGAGAAAAGAAGAGTAGACAAGGAGACCCCCCACCCCCTTTAAATGTTTTTTTTTTTTTTTTAAGTTTTATTGTGAATTGAGTGATAGTTTACACTCATCGTTCCATGACAATGATTACAATCTCCTTTGTACATCATCAGTCAACAGTATTTGCTTCTGTTCCCTCTGGGGTTTTGTTTGTTTGGTTTGTTTTTTGCTGTGCACAAAAGCACTCAGGAATATATAATGATTTAAACCAACTAAAGGGCACATTCTGCAAGCCTGCCTCCTGCCCAGTAGCACACAGCGTTCTCTTCCCGTGAGTGTAGAGTGCTCAGCTGTTCTATTTCAAGGACCCCTTTTGATGAAGTGATTGAAGTGTCTGGCTGATAACCAGAAGATTGGCAGTTCAAACCCACTAGCTGTTTGGAGGATTTTTGCCTCCTTAAGGAGCTCTGATAGCATAGTGGTTACGAATCGGGCTGCTAACCTCAAGGTTGGCAGTTCGAAACTACCAGCTGTTCCGCAGGAGAAAAAGATGAGGCTCTCTGCTCCCATAAAGATTTGCAGTTTCGGAAACCCTGTGCAGGGTCACTATGAGTCAGTACCGACTCCAGGGTACTTAACAGCCACAAAAAGCTGTTTGCCTCCTGAAAGATTCACAGCTCAGCAAACCCGTTGGGGCAGTTCTACTGTGTTTTATAGGACCTTTATGAGTCAGAATCCACATGAAGGCACTGGTTGTTTTTTGTTTTCTCTTTTGGTGATTTTTCTTGTGACAGACTTTTTAAAAGTTAAATTCTGGGATCCTTCTAAATCTACTGACTTTAGGTGGTGTTGGTAAGTGCCATTGAGTCCATTCTGACTCACAGTGACCCTATGTAGAGTTTACTGTGAGCAGCCAGCCAGCCTTGTGGTTAGTGCTGCTGCTGCTGTGACCCTGCACAGGGTTTCTTTATAGGAGCAGAAAGCCTCATCTTTCTCCCACAGAACAGCTGGTAGTTTCGAACTGCTGACCTTGCGGTTTGCAGCCCAATTCGTAGTCCGCTGCTTATCCTACAGCACCACACCAGGAGTTTAGGTTTTAAAACATTTGTTCTTTTCAAATGGAAAACACACTGAGTTGGATAATATTTTTAAGGACTTTTGATAGTTTTATTTGGGGCTAAATTCAGAAAAAACACCAGAGAGACCTAAATAGGGCTTGTCTGTGTTACATATTGTCTTAGTTTGTAGGTCCTGCCATAACAAAAGTGCAAGTGGGCGGCTTTAAAGAAGAAAATGTAGTCTTGGCTGTGTTGCTTCCTTTGGTGAGCTTCTCTTGGAGTTTCTGGTTCACTCCGTGTTGTAGATCAGTTCTCGTTCTGGCGGCTGCCTCTCCCATGCATGTTTCTGTGCGTGTTTGGCTTTTTATGAGAATGCTCAGAAGTGGGTTAGGACCTGCCCTGCTCTGGTATGGCCACATTAACATAACAAAAGAAACCTAGTGCCAAAGGGTTAGAACTTCCACACATATTTTATTGTTGTTAAGTGCTGTCTAGTTGGTCAGACTTTTAGGGACCCTGTATAGGGTTTCCAAGGAGGGGTGGTGAGTTTGAACTGCCGACCTTGTGGTCCAGTGCATTATCCTGTAGCACTACACCAGGACCCCACACATATTTTAGAGGGGTACGTTGCACAGATATATAGTTTTTATATATATAGTCAGGTGCTGTCCAGTTGGTTCCGACTCATAGCAACTCTGTATAGCGTTTTTAAGGAGCAGCTGGTAGGTTGAACCCTCACTTTGTGGTTAGCAGTCTGCTGTTGAACTGAATCTTCAGAAGAACCCACTGAGGTTGTTATTCTCCGTCCTGTTTGACAGATGTACTGAGACATTGAGTGCTGGGGCACACTCTAAAGTCAGTGCTTACCCACGGTGGGTTGACTCTGTCCTGTAGAGATTTGTAGGTCGCCACGTTGGTTTTCAGGCTGTAGCAGGAAGCTGGTGTTTCACTTAGCCTGTTATTAAATCAGAAACAGTTTCTAATAGTCAATTTTCCAGTGTCTTGTAAGAGGCTGTTTTCTATAACTTACTGGAGAGCTCTGGTAGCTTAGTTACGAATCGGGCTGCTAATCTCACAGTCAGCAGTTCGAAACTACCAGCAGTTCCATGGGAGAAAGATGAGGCTTTCTGCTCCTGTAGAAGTTTACAGCCTGGGAAATCCTGTACAGGGTTGCTGAGTCGGAACCGATTCCCCGGCACATAACTAAACAGCAATAACTGAGAGCACAAGGAATGTGTAGTCCTCTGTAGGATAAGCACTGGACTGTAAACCACAAGGTTTACAGCGTTGGAAACCCAAATTCGAAATGACTTGACAGCACCTTGAGAGCATTATCGTGATTTTGTTGTTGTTGTTGTTGTTTTTTGTTATCTTTTGAGTTATTTAAAACTGTGTAGCTTTGTAAACTGACAAATGATAATGTCTATAGAGATGAGTTTCCTGGCCACTGATGAATTTTGTTGTGTTCTCCTGTGACTTGCAAATTATTTTTAATCTGAACATGCATTTAGCCAAATCTGCCCTGTTGTCTGCTGTCTTTATATGGCTCGGGCCATCTAATTTGATATCTGCTCCTAGCAAATTTAGTTGCAGGGCTGGGTTTTATTAATGTATGATCCACACTGCTACTCCAGAAGGTGGTTGTTGTTGAGTGCTGTCCAGTCAGTTCATACACAGGGAGCAACTGGTGGTCTTGAACTGCGGACTTTGTGGTTAGCAGTCAAGTGCTTAACCTACAGCGCCCCACATGTTGTTGTTGTGAAGTGCCGTCAAATCTGTTCCGACCCATAGCGACCCTGTATAGGGTTTCCGAGGAGCAGCTGGTGAGCTTGAACCACCAACCTTGCAGTTCACATAGCTTTGCAGCTGGTGCATTAACCCACGGCGCCACATCAGGACTCCCATTTACTGAATGTACTCTTAGTTAATTCTGTTCTGTGTAGTGAACTAGTTCTGCTTTATGGGTTTAAGTGTCATTTTCAAATGCTGTTGTCATCAGAGTATGTAATTCCTGCAGTAGTTGTTGAGTGGGTTCCAACTCCTAGTGACCCTGTATAGAGTTTCTGAGGAACAGCTGGTGGGTTTGAACTGCTGACCTTGTGGTCTAATGTATTATCCTACAGAACCACCCCAGAAAACATAGAGTATATTTAATACTCTCTGTTGGTCTAGTGGTTAGGATTCAGCAAACTATTTGAGTCCTGGTGTGGCACTCTAGGATAAGCACTGGACTGCTGACTAAAAGGTGGGTGGTTCAAACCTACCAGCCATTCCTCAGAAACCCTATACAGGGTCACTATGAGAAGAAATGATCTTGGTGGCACTTAACAACAACAACAATATATTTAGTACACATAATGGAGTGTTTGAATCTTATTTATTGGTCATGATTTTACTTTGAACTTCAATTTGAATTAAGTTTCTTGATAAATGTATGTGCTTCAAATACTAGAATATAATTTGCCATTAAGTATAAAATCTGAAAAGTAACGTCAGAAGTCACTTTCTTTTGTTGAAGAATAGAATTAAAGAAATGATTGTAATATGTTTCTTGATATTTCGTTGGTTTGTATCTTTCCTTTAAGTTCACTGTTTCAGTGCCTCTAGCCCAGAAAAGCTCTGGTGGTACTGGTATCATAAGCATTGGACTGCTAACGACAGGGTCAGCAGTTCGGACCCACCAGCCGCTCCACAGCTTCCTACTCTAGTAAAGATTACAGCCTCAGCAACCATATATGCAAGGTCGTTATGAGTTGGAGCGATCTATAACAGTATGGTGCAAGAAAGTACACACGGTCTTATATAAGTAGTATATGCTTGGTCCCAGTGTTCTTTTAAAAAAACAAGAATGACCACATGCTGTCAGATGGACTCTAACTGCTGGTGACTCTGTGTGTCAGAGTTGAACTATGCTCCCCAGGGTTTTCAGTGGCCGATTGAGTATTCATTAGGGCTCCAGGCCTCTCTGGGTGGCTTCAAAGTTCCAACCTTTTGATAAGCAGCCAAACACATTACCTCAAAAAAAAAAAAAAAAAAATTAATGGGTTTCCCTTAAATTATCTGATTACTGTGTTCTGAAACAGACTTAGCTTGATGTTAAAGTTTAAACACTTTATAAAAGAATAGTTTTGAATTTTTAAATGTTAAAAATAGTGTAATTTAAAGAACATTGTTCAAAAGGGGGAAAAGCATTTATCACATTATTCTTGTACAACTATTTTAATTTTATCTTTCTATTTAGTATACATATGTTGTGTTTGTCTGGTACTTTTTCAAGTCAGTTTTGACTTGTAGCAACCCCATGTGACAGAGTATAACTGCCCGTAGGGTTTTCTTGGCTGGCCTCCCCTTCCCTTCCCGTAGGAGCCCACTGGGTACGTTCTCTCAGCCAGCTGTTTAGTTACAGCCCAGCGCTTAACTGTTTGAGCTTCCACCACTAGGGTTCCTTTAGCATATGTTGTTGTTGTTAAGTGTTGTTGAGTTGATTCTGACTCATAGTGACCCTGTGTGGGGTTTCTAAGGAGCAGTTTTAGAGTTTGAACCTTTAGTATATGTGCACGGAGTAATGGAAATGTCGATTTCTAGGTGCCTTGGTTTCAGTAAAACCCCTCCATGATTTGTTATCTTTGCATTAATTCTTGATATCATCAAGCTCTTCAGAGTGCAGAGGAACAGGTTGCTGGGCCTAGTGTACATTTTATGATACTATGATACCTTGTGAATTTATGAATTTTTCTTATGTGTGCTTAGTTTAGCCAAGTGTCAGGGAAGTATTTTGCTATGTGCGAAAATAAGTAGATCTATTTCTTCTTGGTGCTTGTTTGCATGTATTTACTGTGCCCTTTGAATTTTCCACTCAGCTTTCTAAAACCAACTTTTCCAACAACAACGATTTCCGCGCTCTGCTCCAGTCTCTGTATGCTACTTTCAAGGAGTTCAAAATGCACGAGCAGATTGAAAATGAGTACATTATTGGTTTGCTCCAGCAACGCAGCCAGACCATTTATAATGTGCATTCTGACAACAAACTCTCGGAGATGCTGTGCCTCTTTGAAAAAGGACTGAAGAATGTTAAGGTGAGTTCCAAAAATGACAATTTCTGCCATCTGTCACTGACAAAACTTGTTTACATTTTATAGTAAATGGTGCAACCTCTTTGCTATTGTGAAATAGCATTTTATAATGAATTCTTCTCCCCAAGTCCTAGAGTTGACTTTAATAAGTTAGAATTTTTTAAAGTTTTTGTTGTGAATTGAGTGGAGGTTTACAGACAAGATCACCCTGTGGTTCTTATTTCCCCTCCACCTACCTGCCCATTTCTTCTCTACTTGGTTGTAGGTAAATGGTGCCCTTTTGATCTTGAAGGGTTGACTTTTCCTTGGTGAGCATGCCTGACTAGGATGGTCCCCACTGTGTACCTATTTGGAGTCCTGGTAGGATAAGCACTGGACCACAAGGTTGGTTTGAATCGCAAGGTCGGCGGTTCAAACTCACCAGGTACTCCTCAGAAACCTTGTGCTTCATAGTCCAGTGCGTACCCTGGGGTGCTACCACATTCCCCACGTGTTCCATTAGTCCATTGGAATAAATTAACATTGAAAAACTTATCAAAAATTTGTTACATTCTGAAAATATTTGCTAAAACTCTTAGAGGAAAGCTATATGTAAATGCAGTTATTGGTTATTGGTGACTAAAGGTAAAATTGTTACTTTGAATATTAGTTTTAAAATTGAATGCCAGCTATTTATTATATTATATATATATATGTTGTTGTTAAGTGCCGTCGAGTCGGTTCCGACTCATAGCGACCCTGTACAGGGTTTCCGAGGGTGTAAATCTTTGCGGGAGTAGAAAGCCTCATCTTTCTCCCGCAGTTAAACACCTCCAATTTTTACTGAAGGCGACTGCCTCATTTTTCTCCCTTGGAGTCATGTGTGTGTTTAAACGGCTGACCGTAACTTTATAATCACCACTTGAGCACTTTATACCTTGCACCACAAGGGCCCCTTGCTATGGCTGTAATAAACCACATTTCCCATTTTGCTTGTACCCTGTGTGTGTCAAATTCGGTGTTTCTCTTTAGAAACTTGTAGCTTTGACAAGGACTTAACTACAGCCATGCACAGGTGGTTCTCTGAGCAGCCTGCTAATTTGCATTCAGGAAGGGGACACGCTCCTGCTGACCACTCCTGTTGTTTGATTACCACTCTGTCCACAGTGGGTTTTTGTCGGCACTTGGGAACTTCCTGGCCCAGATGATTGAGAATAAGCGGAAAAAAGAAAACTCGCGAGATTTTGATGTCAGTGGTCCTATAAGATATGCCATTTACGGGTAAGTGTCACTACGGCTGCTTTACCTGGGAGGAACACTAAGTGCTAACAACAACCAATTTTTTGGAATAACAGTTTGGAAAAATAATTTTTAAATTACTTTTTATTTTAAATTTTAATGATCAACAGCACTGACCTAATAGTAATCATGGGGAAAGTCAGAATGGTATATTAGAGTTAATCTGCACCGATTCACTCATCTTAAGAGTTGAACGTGGATTTTTTTTTTGTATTGGGTGGGAAGTGACGGTCCTAATTGGGCTAGGAGCAAGGACAGATAGCTCACTGGAGTGTAAAATCAGACTTCATAACTCAAAGACCCTGAAACTGATTTGGCTCATGGAAGAAAATAAACAAAACTCAGACCCCAAAAGTGATGAGCTAGTTTGTATTGTTATTTTCATAGTGCATATATCCAGAACAGAAATACAAAGGTATCCTGAAAAGCATCCAACTTCTAAACCACTTCCTGAAGCATTCCTGATTAACACCCAGTATGAGCTACCTGTCTAACAATGTGTTGTAGATGTTGAAGTCTTCTCTGCAGCTAATGAATTTTTTAATCAAAGTTTGGGGAATTCAAAATACAGGAAACAGGAAGTAGAGAAGTCGTGGGAATGGAGTAGGCTAATGTTTGTGGGCTAGACAGACTCTCCCTGTTGCTGGAGGAAATGACAGAAGAAGCATGCTGACTTTAGTTTTCATGGTTTTATTCTTAATATATGATGGGGCTTCAAAAAGTTCCCTCGTATTGTAAGCAATAAGTATCCATGATGAAAGGTAGAATGTGTATCAAATTCATACAAGTGACTTTCTAAAATCACACAAAACTTTTCCTATTCCCAAGATTCTTAAGGCCATTTAACTAACATCTTTTAGTAGAACCCAAAGCCGTGTGACCCTATAGGACACAGTAGAAGTGTCCCTCAGGGTTTCCAGGAGTAGAAAGTCTCATCGTCTATCCTCAAAGCTGCCGGTGCATTTGTGCTGCTAACCTTGGGCTCAGCAGCCCAGTTTAACCCATTACACCATCAGAGCTCTTCTTATGGTAGAGCAGAACACCAAACAAACAAGAACCACTTGTTGAAAGCGTATTTCAAAGCCAGAAACAAAAGACGCCTGCGCCCCTGCCCTCTCCTTATTGCCAAGTTATCGGGCACTGTGGACCTACTGTCTCAGTAGACATGGGGCTCAGTTGCCTCCCAAGGACAGCCGCTGTGGAATAAACAGTAGTAATGCACACCAGCCTGTGTGCACACCCTGGAGAGTTTGATGAGAAGCGATGTGCTTGTTTATCACTGAGCACCTTCTACACTCCAGACCTTATTCCGGATACTGGAGATACAGTACTGAATGAGGTAGAGATGTGCCCCTGCCTTGTGGCATTTACCTTCTAGGAGGTGAATAAACAGATGAAATCACTACAAACAAACAGAAGCTGCCTCTGACTCATAGCAGCTCTGTAGGAGAGGGGGTTCTGTGGCTGGACCTTGTGGTTAGCAGCCCAGCACGTAACCCACGGTGCTACCCGGCTTCTTCAAGATCATGATATGAAGTGATAAATGCAATGAATAAAATCAGAGGGCCCTGGAGTAAGTGGCTGGAGATGGCTGCAAATGTTGGCTAGGGCAGTTGGGAAAGGCCTCCCTGAGAAAGGTATGAGAGCCAATAATGTTGACAAGAAGCAGACAGTAATGCTGGGGGTGGGGTTGGGGG